GACCGGTAGTGTGCACACCGGTTGACCGGACAGGTCGACCGGTCAGCCTGCAATCCGGTCAACCGCATAGGTCGACCGGTTTCCATGTGATTCGGTCGACCGCACAGGTCGACCGGTGGAATCAGCTGCGCGAGAGAAGCTCGCGGAAATCAATCCAAAACCTGCAAATCCAGTCCCAAATTGAAATATTTCAAAGGAAAACCACTAGATCTGGATTCTAGGTCCTAAAACAAGTCCAAAGAACCCAAGATCTCCAATTTCTACTCTAGTTTTACTCAAAAACCATCAAAATTCGATTTGAACCAAAATGAGTTTTGAAATTCAAAAACTTGTGACTCAAGAGAGGTTCTTTCAGTAATCTTACCTCGAATCCTTCTCTTGACGTTGAAAACTTCTTTAAATCTTTGCTTGGTTCAAGATCCATTTGATTTGGGACACAAATGAGAGAGAGAGAGAGAGATAGTGAGCATGAGAGAGTGAGAGTGAAGGAGAGAGAAAGAGTGCACGGGAAAGGAAAGAGAAAGGAAAGGAAAAAGAAAAAAAAGAAAAGAAAAGAAAAGAAAAAGGAAAAGAAAATGACATGTGTCAACATTTTAAAAGAGCAGTCCAGAAATGCGCCCACACACACTTCTGGTTTAAAATAAATTATTAAGAATAATTTAAATACCTTGGAACTATTTAAACTCACACGTGTCAGAAACATTTATTAATCAAACTCAATTAATAATCCAGATTAGGAACACTAATAATCTCAATTACGTTAATTAATCTCAATTAATTTTTTAGGGTGTTACAGCTCCACCCCCTTAGGCAATTTCGTCCCCGAAATTAAAGCCTACCTCACAGTGTGAACAGATGCGGATATTGTTCATGCATCGTCGTTTCAAGCTCCCATGTCGCTTCCTCAATTCCATGGTGGTGTCATAATACTTTCACTAGAGGAATCTCACGATGACGTAGACTCTTTATCTTTCGATCAAGAATCTGAACTGGTGCCTCCTCGTACGACGCGTCATACTGTATCGAAACATCAAACCACTGCACTACAGCTTCCGGCTCAGGTTGACATTTCTGAAGCATGGAGACATGAAACACGTCATGCACGTGAGATAATTCAGGCGGTAAGGCCAACCGGTAAGCCACTGCTCCGATTCGTTGCACGATCGGGAATGGTCCCACATACCTTGGTGCAAGTTTCCTTTTCACACCAAACCGAACGACTCCCTTGCGTGGGGAAACCTTTAGCAAAACAAAGTCGCCTTCCTAAAATTCCAAAGGCCTACGCCTTCTGTCAGCATAACTCTTTTGATGACTTTGAGCTGTCAATAGTCGTTCCCGAATCACAGCTATCTTCTCATTATTCTCTTGAATGACTTCCGGTCCAGTGCTCAGTCGATCCTCTGGTTCCAACCAACACACAGGTGACCTACAAGGACGACCATACAGAGCTTCAAACGGTGACATTCCAATACTGGCCTGATAGCTGTTGTTATAAGCAAACTCAACTAGATGCATGTATTTCTTCTAGTTCCCGCCAAATTCCAGAACACAAGCACGAAGTATATCCTCCAGAATCTGAATTACCCTTTCAGATTGCCCATCAGTCTGAGGATGAAATGCTGTGCTGAAGTTCAAGTCTGTTCCCATGGCTTCCTGGAAACTCCTCCAATACCTTGCATTGAAACACGTATCACGATCAGACGTGATAGACAGTGGCACCCCGTGTAGCGTCACGATGTGCTCCAGGTACAATTCTGACAGAATCTTCCGAGAATACGTCGCACGAAATGGTATGAAGTGCGCAGACTTCATCAACCTATCCACCACCACCCAGATGGCGTCGTGCTTCAGCTCGGTTCTCGGTAGCCCCATCAGAAAGTCCATGGTGATGTGCTCCCATTTCCATCTTGGGACATGAAGAGGTTGCAACTCTCCCGCTGGCTTCCGATGCTCAGCTTTAATCCGGAGGCAAGTCACACATTCCGAGACATACTCACGAACGTCCCTTTTCATGCCTCTCCACCAGTACAGTCTTTTCAGGTCCTGGTACATCTTTGTGCTTCCTGGATGTATAGCATACTTCGATTTGTGTGCCTCTTGCAGAATCGTCTTCTTTACCTCACCCGCCTTGGGAACAGCAAGGCGGTTGCGGAAATACAAGGCTCCATCCTCTCGGATTCTCCAATCCTCGAATTATTCTCCATTCTGGATTCGAATCCAAATTCCCTGGAGGTGTGGATCCTGCAATTGATTCTGCTTAACCCGTTGCACAATATCCGGTGTAGAGACCAGATTATACACCATAGCTTGGTTATAATCTTCGTAGAACTGAAGATCGTACTCACTCACCACTTTAGTCCTTTTTCAATCTTCCAAAGCTAATGACGCCAGAGTCCCCGTCGTCTTCCTACTAAGGGCATCAACCACCACATTAGCTTTTCCCGGATGATATTGTAGAGTGAAGTCATAATCTTCCATATACTCCACCCATCTCCTTTGCCTGAGATTCAAGTCTTTCTGAGTAAACAAGTACTTCAGACTTTTATGGTCAGAAAAGACCTGAAACTTTACTCCATAGAGATAACATCTCTATATCTTCAGAGCAAATATTACCGCTGCTAGCTCCAAATCATGAGTGGGGTAATTTCGTTCATGTGGTCTTAATTGGCGAGATGCGTACGCTACCATGCGTCCACCTTGCATTAAGACACAGCCAAGCCCACTCCCCGAGGCATCAGAATACACCTCATATGGTTCCTCACTATCAGGAATAGTCAAGACTGGTGCATTTGTCAGTCTGACCTTCAATTCCTGAAAAGTATTTTCGCATTCAGCGTCCCATTTTAATCTGACCTCCTTCCTCATCAACCGAGTCATCTGTGCAGCGATGCTTGAGAAGTCTTTTACAAAACGCCGGTAATACCCTGCCAATCCGAGGAAACTACGAATCTCTGCTACATTCTTCGGCCTTTCCCACTGTAGCACAGTCTCGATCTTGGAAGAATCTACAGAAATTCCCTGTCTAGAAATCACATGCCCAAGGAACTTCATTTCTGTCAGCCAGAAGTCACACTTCTCCTTCTTAGCATACAACTGGTGTTCTCGAAGAATCTGAAGAACAATTCTCAAGTGCTGCTCATGTTCTTCCCAAGTCTTCGAGTACACCAATATGTCGTCAATGAAGACGACCACGAACCGATCCAAGTATAGCCGAAAAACACGGTTCATTAGATCCATGAATGCAGTCGGGGCATTAGTCAGTCTAAACGGCATTACCAGAAGCTCGAAGTGCCCATACCGAGTTCTAAATGCAGTCTTCAGAATGTCTTCCTCCTTGATTTTTAGCTGATGGTACCCAGATCTCAAATCAATCTTAGAGTAGAACTGTGATCCACCCAACTGATCGAATAACTCATCGATCCTTGGCAGTGGGTATTTATTCTTCACAGTCACCCTGTTCAATTGACGGTAGTCAATGCACAACCGAAGAGATCCGTCGTGCTTCTTCACAAATAGCACTGGTGCACCCCAAGGGGAAGTACTATTCCGGATATATCCCTTTTCTGCTAGTTTCTCAAGCTGCGTTCTTAATTCTTTCATCTCTGCCGGAGCCATCCGGTATGGAGGAATGGAAATAGGTGCCGTTCCCGGGACCAAATCAATACAGAATTCAATTTCTCGATCTGGTGGTAAACCAGGTAGCTCATCAGGAAATATATCTGTAAACTCATCCACTACAGGGATTCCCGCACTATCTCCAATTATCTCGGGTTCACCTTCTAGAGCAAGAAGAGAAGATAAACAGGCTAGATTCCTCCGTCCCCCAACACTGTACTTCAACAGTCGTTCTCCTAGGACTGGATTCATATCTGCCCGATAAGAAATTATTGTTCTCGACTTAGTCATCAGAGTCACTCTCCTACGGTAACAATCAACAATTGCTCCGTATTCTGACAACCAATCCATTCCGAGGACCACATCAAACAGGCTCATCGGAAGGATGATCAAATCTGCTCTCACTCGCTCACCGCCAATCGTGATCTCACACGATTTACACACACTCATTACAAAGCCCGAACAAAAGAACTTAATATAAACGAGTGTGTGGCACCTGTGTCAAACAACACGTGAGCAAAAGAATGAGAAATTAGAATCATACCCTCAACCACCGCGTTGCTGGGCTGACCTCCAGAACTGCCTCCTGCCAGGACATAAGCTTGTCCCTGTACTTTCCCTTTCCCTCTGTCACCAACATTAGGCTGCTGGGTCGGAGGCCTATACTGTTGCGGCGGAGGTGGTTACACCGGTCTCGGCGCTTGAGGCCAGAATTGTGTAAGTAGATGTGGTTGATAAGTCGGCACAAGAGGGTATGGCATCTGTTGTGGTTGATATGGTGGCATGTACTATGGTGGCCCTTCTTAACTGTACGAAGCGTCACTTTGGGCTTGTCGAGCCGGCGGCCGATTATGACAATTCCTCCTAATATGGCCCACCTACCCACAATGGTGACACCTGGGCCCGTACGGAGCATTTCTATCACTTTCTGACGAACTACTGCCACCACTAACCACTCCCCCACCAGGTTGTCCCTGGTTGCGGTTCCTTCTACCACTCCGCTGTGGCCCACCTGAGACAGAAGGTCTACCAGAGACAGAGACTTGACTCGTTGCTTCTTTGCTTTGGTGATAGGCCAAGTTATCCTGTTCCACCCGTGTAGCAGCAGCTACCAAATCCCGAAAGTTTCGAATCCTTAAGGCCACCAATGACCTCCTCACAGAATTCTTGAGGCCTTTCTCAAACTTAAGACACCTCATGGGTTCAGACTCCACTAGTGATGGCACAAACCGGGATAGGTCATTAAACTTGGCCTCATATTCCTTTACAAACATGTCTTCTTGCAGTAGAGACATAAATTCCAGCGCTTTTTCTTCCCTGTAACTCTGAGGGAAGTACTGTTCATTGAATAGTGTCTCAAATTGCTCCCAGGTCAGTCCTGTAACATCCATTCTTCTCTTGACCTGTTTCTACTAAGTATTCGCTAAGCCCTTCATCTTGTACACCGCAAATTCCACCCAGTATTCATCTGGAACTCCCATAGTACTCAAATGCTTGACTATGGAGTCTAACCAGAACTCTGCCTCCTGGGGTCCTCCCTCACTATTAAATGAAGGGATAGGCGCATGCCTAAATTCCCGGAAGTAACCTTGCTTCCTATCTTCAACCGGTCGCTCGTTTTGAGCCCTTGTGGCCATGCCTTGAAAGGCAGCATACATGGCATCCAGAAATCTCTGATTCTGTTGTGCCGGTTGATTAGCAGGCCTACGGCGAGGCGCCATTTCCTTTAACTGAAATAAAACTAGACTATTCAGTGGATTACAGATGTCACACATGTATGTACAATCCTGGGGTTCTTAACCTAGGGCTCTGATACCACCTTTGTCACGCCCCCCAAACGGGGTGCGTGACGTGGAGCTCGATTAGGGATTAATAGCAGATTCCCAGATCGGGCCCCACACTTAACTGCATTAAAATATAAATAAACTACTATAGAAACCAGGAGCCTCTGACACACAAGGCTCCACCCCACAGGACATACAGTATCGTACATACATGCTCATGTAAATAATAATTACAACAGACATCAACCACAGTCTAGTCAATCCGAATATTACATAAGTTTATAGAATTTCTCAAATTCTTTACATTTGTATCAGAGGATGACCACAATCCTCACTTGATTCCAACAGCAGCACAACTCAGCTGCTCCGTAGCAATATCCAGCTACTGTGCACCGCTCCTAGAGTCTCCTGGGAGGGGTTTAATACATTTAAAAAATAAAACGTGAGCGAAAGGCCTAGTAGGATATAATTTGAAATAAATGTTATAATAAATGTGCGAGGGAATACATAAATAAATAAGTAAATAAAATAAGACATTCAGTCCTGACAGAACAGCCAGAACCTCACATCCTTTTTCTCAAAGGAAATATAACTGTAAATAACCGTTTTACAGGCTTCAGCAAGTAATTAGTACAAATTACTCACCTAACCAAGTTCCTCGCCTACCCAGACTGAGTTTCGGGTTCTGCCCCCGAGGATACACTCTCTGCATCCTATCTAGGCTTACAGCAATAGACTCTATTACCAGTTTACCAGATCTCTTTGCTTAAGAAATCATTCATTAACATTTTGAAATTGTTAATACGACCCCACGAACTACTCAAGCCGTGGGCCCTATGACTGGACAAGCCATAAGGTTCCATGACTAAACAAGCCATGGTTCTCAAAGTGTTTTCTTTCACAAATCAATCCCTTTCTTTAAAACATTTTCAAGGCCAAAATCCTTTTTGAAAACAGGCTCACAAAGAAAAGGGATAGAAATCCTACCTCGCACTATCAAACCTGGGACGAGCGTTGCCTTTTCCGGCTTCCGCTTCCTCAAGCCCCTTCAGTCTGAATCCTCAGCGATCACTGATGTAAAACAACCCTTTAGGATTAATTCTCATTCCTAAAGTAATCCAAATCTCAATTTCCAACCAAGATTTCCTATTAGTGTGCCTTAATCCACTTTCATGTGTCAAATGATCATTCCAAGGGTTTTCAATCTCAAATCAAGGATTATCAATGCTAATCCATCAATCGCAAGTCCCCAAATGAAGCTAATTTGGGTTCTCCCAAAACAGGGGTCAAAACAACAATTTCAGGCCAAACAGGGTCAACCCCCGTGTCAACCGGTCGACCGGTGACAGAGCAGTGCAACACTACCGCTCGACCGGTAGTGTGCACACCGGTCAACCGGACAGGGCGACCGGTCAGCCTGCAATCCGGTCAACCGCATAGGTCGACCGATTTCCATGTGATTCGGTCGACCGCACAGGTTGACCGGTGGAATCAGCTGTGCGAGAGAAGCTCACGTAAATCAATCTAAAACCTGCAAATCCAGTCCCAAATCAAAATATTTCAAAGGAAAATCACTAGATCTGGGTTCTAGGTCCTAAAACAAGTCCAAAGAACCCAAGATCTCCAATTTCTACTCTAGTTTTACTCAAAAACCATCAAAATCCGATTTGAACCAAAATGAGTTTTGAAATTCAAAAACTTGTGATTCAAGAGAGGTTCTTTCAGTAATCTTACCTCGAATCCTTCTCTTGACGTTGAAAACTTCTTTAAATCTTTGCTTGGTTCAAGATCCGTCTGATTTGGGACACAAATGAGAGAGAGAGAGAAAGAGAGAGTGAGCGGGAGAGAGTGAGAGTGAAGGAGAGAGAGAGAGTGCACGGGAAAGGAAAGAGAAAGGGAAGGAAAAAGAAAAAAAAAAGAAAAGAAAAGAAAAGAAAAAGGAAAAGAAAATGACATGTGTCAATATTTTAAAAGAGCAGTCCAGAAATGTGCCCACACACACTTCTGGTTTAAAATGAATTATTAAGAATAATTTAAATACCTTGGAACTATTTAAACTCACACGTGTCAGAAACATTTATTAATTAAACTCAATTAATAATCCAAATTAGGCACACTAATAATCTCAATTACCTTAATTAATCTCAATTAATTTTTCAGGGTGTTATAACTTTCATATTGGTACTCACAATGCTCTTATATAGTTCAGTTTAAGCTTCTGCTTTCCCACATGTACTCATCTTAATTTCTACAATTTGAATTTTGCTCCCTATTCAAACCGAGCAAAAGAATTATCCAATGATTCTAATTTTGGATTAGTGGTGTAAATCTAACCGATCATAGTAAGCATATGCCACAACATAAACATATAATTGAAACTAGAGGAGGCTCTGTGTGCTGAAACTCAATTAGAGCATATGTATAAGAAATGTATCATTACAGGAAAAGATCCGTATTATGATGCAATTTTGATAAGTACATTACCTTTCAGTATTATTCAAGCCCCCTTACGACATGTTCTTATTATTTTTCCATAATGAAAGAAGTTACCAAACATCAAAATAGTTAGTTTTGGTTGGGCCTCTAATTTTGCTTAAAGAGCTCTATATGATAGATAGCTCAAAATTGAGTAGCTACGACTAGTAACTAATTCTCACTTTGCATTAGTAATTGTTTGGAAATTCCTTGATTTTTGATTGTTGACTGCTATTTTATTGGATTTACTTTTTACTTTGCTTTGAGCAGAGATGATTTCCTGTCCAAGGGATTTAAACTGGCGTTATAAATAGAGCATGCAGAGGAAGACCTGAGGTATTGTCGATGCTTACTAGAGTGGCTCTTTCATCACCTTTTGCTGTTGTTATTAATTTTGTTCCACTACTGATTGTTATCTTATGTAGCTCGGTGCCATTGTCTCTTTCTTTCGGGTTGATGCTGCGAGGTTTTTGCTCTGATATAACTGATGTAGTAATCTCTGGATGAAAAGGAGTGAATATTGAATCTCATAAACTGTGTAAAACTCTCTTATATCATATTGGCAGTGTAAATCTTTTGTTGGTTGTATGGCCATGTTACGTTCATTTCACTTGTAAATTAAGCACCTTAACTTGTTTGTATCTCGAATGTTGATGAGGCCATGATAAAAATGCACTTTTTATGGTTTTGCTGCCATGAAATATATTTTCTGATGTGTTGACTTGATAAAATATGGATATCTAATTCGGTTTTTCATCAATGGTGTGAAGATATATTTTATATTTATTTGTTGAACCTTCTCTGAAGTCTGAACACGTTGGTTAGCATTTTGCTCCAACATCTTCATGAGCATTTTAATGAGTTGTGTAATGGGGAGGTGTTTTTTAACATCTACACTTTTTCCCTTTTTTGTGATAAGAAACTTGTTTAAACGTTAATTAACTAAGCTTGTTTTATATGTGACAAGTATTCCACAAACTTCCTCTAGGCATTGATGGATTACTTCAGTGTTTATATATATATATATATATATATATATATATATATATATGAGTATACATTGGACCTGCTAACCACAACACAAACATGAGCATATGGAGACATATCTACTACAAAAATGAATTTCGATACGATAAAGATTGTGACAAAACTTGAAAGAAAAATGAGAATTAAAAAGAAATGACAAAAGATAATCAATTGATTTTCTATGGAGTATATTTACCATCTTTGTATGGAAATAATATGTATATATATATATATATATATGAGTATAATAAAGGGGATGGGATGGAACTGGAGATGAAGATTTATGAGGGGGGAGAATACCTAGAAGCTTAATGTTCGAATACCATATATGATTTCGAGAAATGAAAATTAGTAGAAAATTATAAAATAAGTCTTTTTCCTTATTTGTTATCATATACAAAACTAAGTGCATGAAGAATGTATCTAAATACACCACTAGTGTTATTTTCCTAACATAATTTCTTTACGGAGTTTCCTAACATAGCCTTAATCAATTACAAATTGATATAAAATCAATATACATTCTCTTATCCTTTCAGAAAATATACATTCTCCTATAATCAGGTTTCTCTTATAGTATGCATTCAGAAATCTTGCAATTGTTTTAATTGTATCTTCATCCACCTATTGTAAAACAAATAATCTTTAATATCAGAGAAAGTAACACAAATTTATTGGAAGTTCTTGTATTTATTCTTGAATTTTTTTTATTTCCTCTTGAATCTAATTTTACACGAGAAGTTTAGTCAGATAGTCGGGGTTGAAAATGAGTAAGCAAATGGAATGCAAGCTAAACCCAGCTTGGATCAACTTTAGTGTTGATAATTATTTTAAATGAATTTAATAAATAAGTGCAAATTGGTGTTGAAAAATTTAAAAGAGAGATTTTCTGATACACCTGGCGTATCGGTAGGTCAGGTTTTTTAAACTGTTGAATCTGCATATTTTTTAATTTTTACGTGATTTTATGCGTATTTGACATACAAAAAACTTGACATACCGAAAAAGGTCCCCATTTATAATTGATGCATCTTTCGTACGTTAAAAAACAGCCCAAAAAAAAAAATCCATGGCCTTTTCGGTTGCAAAAATATTTTAATTTTAGGTTTCTTTTTTGCATTTGTATATTTTTTTTATCCCTCTTTCGCTAAGTATCACAAATCTACTTGTTACGGGTCAACTAAATTCTAAATAAGCCTCTGTTTTTGCACATTTTCTTTGACAAAAATAGAGATGAAAGTTGGAACCAATCAAGTCTGAATAGGATATTTCACAAAAGTTATGCATGACTTTGCAAGTGGATCAACTAAAATGTCCAAATAAGCCCTTGTTTTCAACATTTGCTTCATCGAAGATAAAGATGTTAGTTTAGATCGCCCGACCTAGTTTGGCCCGAATAAGATATTTGAGTTGTCATTTTAATCAGATCAAGTTAGGACTAAAAAGGGCTCTTTACACATCTAGTGAAATTTTAATAGTAGAGTTTAAATATATCAAAATTTTAAAATATTACAAAAATAGTAAAATTTTGATATCATTAGAATAATGATTATATTATTACATAGTAAAAAATGTGATATTATTATGATAATGATTATCACATTTTTGTTATATTTATAATACAGAAATAGTAGAAAATATGCCAATATGAAAAGTTTAAGAAAGTATATAGGCTAATTTTTAGTTATAGAAATTAATAGGCCATAACTTGTCAAGTTATGATTAATAACCAGATAAGTTATGGACAAACTCGTCAAGTTATGGTTCATAACCAGACAAGTTATGGACAAAAACCGTGAATTATGGATAATAACTTGTCAAGTTATGGTTTATAACCAGACAAATTATGGATAAAAATAATAATTTAGCCTATTTATTAACTTATATAAACTATTAGCCTATTCATTTTAATTCATTTTAATTTTTGACCTATTTTTCTATTTTTCAATATCGTGAAAACATTTCCTAAATTCCAAATGCAATGTGGTGTAATTAATAGTGGAAATCAAGGCCCACTTATGAAATGCCTTTGACCCACTTTTTAAAAGCCCACTTTTATTCTTGAAGAAGAAAGCCCATTTTTAATAGAGGACTGTTTGAGAGAGTCATTTCAGTTGGATACTGGATACTGGATACTGGTCCAAAACCCTCTTGGGGAGCTCCATTCCCATGCCGTTTCATCCCAGAAAGAATTAGAAAATCCCCCTAAAACCTAAACCATCTTCGATCTTCTCTCCATAAACAAAATCCAGATCTTCGCAACAATTAGACCAGCATCCGAATCTCTCTCTCTCTCTCCTCTCTCTCTCTCTCTCCATATATATACATACACACAGACATATATATATTCTCTTATCTCCTATCAAACGCGCCTATACGAACCTTCTTCTCCAAATCTCCAACACCGCCGTGATTTGAGAGCTTTCTTCAACTAACAGGTAATTTTCTCGTTCAATTTAGCTGTGAATGGTGTTCATCTTTTGCTCATGCCATTCCGAGACATTTCTGACAGATACACACAAAAAGAACGAAGTGCTTATTCATTTATTTTCTGCTTGTTTCGGTTTTCTTCTACTTTGAATTCTTGCAACTTTTTGATGACTTTTTGGTTGTATCTGAATTTTTAAGTACCCTTTTTCAATATTCTTGATTTGTAGTGGAATAGGTGTCGTTTCTAGCTCCGCAAAGATTGGTACTTTGAGGTTTGAGCTTTTATTCAGATTAAGATTGTTGTTTATTTTGTTTGGATAACAGGAAGAGGAAGTGTATTTTTTTTTTTTATGGGGAAATCTGGGGGAAGGAAGAAGAAGGGTGGTTCAAACCAAGTTTCAGGGGATAACAATTCAACAACTCCAAGTGCTAATGGCGGTGTTGATTTGGACTCTTCGATATTTTTGAAGCGAGCCCATGAGCTTAAAGAAGAAGGAAATAAGAGGTTTCAGAATAAGGACTATGTGGGTGCTCTTGAACAGTATGATAGTGCTCTTAGGCTCACTCCCAAAACCCATCCGGACCGGGCGGTTTTCCACAGCAATAGGGCGGCTTGTTTAATGCAAATGAAGCCTATTGATTATGAAACTGTGATTGCGGAGTGCTCCATGGCGCTCCAGGTTCAACCGCAGTTTGTCAGGGCCCTTCTTCGGAGGGCTCGGGCATTCGAGGCGATCGGGAAGTATGGAATGGCGATGCAGGATGTTCAGGTGTTGTTGATGGCTGAACCGAATCATCAGGATGCATTGGAGATTGCCCAGCGGCTGCGGACCGCACTTGGGCCTCGTCAGGAGGCGCAGCAAGACCTCCATAGTCGCCCTTCCCCTGCTGCTCTTGGAGCTTCTGCAGTTCGTGGTGCTCCAATTGGCGGACTAGGACCATGTCTACCAGCACGACCAGTGCAAAAGAAGGGTTCTACTTCGTCAGGATTATCTGCTGCCTCGGCAAACAATAAGGCAGAGAAACCTCCGACAGTTTTGCCTACTGAAAATGGTTCTGAACCCAAGGCCCAATTGGCAAAACTTGTACTCAAGCCTTCAAACAGTTCAACAAAACATCCAAACTCAAGTAACCAAAAGGAATTATCGTCTTCTTCATCAGTGTCATTGCCGGCTCATGCAGTAATACGATGGAGGTCATTGAAGCTTGTCTATGACCATGACATAAGACTAGCCCAAATGCCTGTGAATTGCAGTTTCAGAGTGTTAAGGGAAACTGTAACCAAGCGCTTTCCTTCCTCAAAGTCAGTCTTGATTAAGTACAAGGATACTGATGGTGATTTGGTGACTATAACCTCTACTGGTGAACTTAGATTGGCAGAGTCTAGTGCGGACAGCCATGTTTCGAAAGATCCTGGAACAGATGAAGCAGAATCAATCGGGATGTTGAGACTGCATATTGTGGAGGTGAGTCCTGAACAAGAGCCACCTTTACCAGAGGAAGAAGAGGAGAAAGTTGTAGAGAATGAGGTGAAGGGAGATGAGAACGGATCTCATTCCTCACTGGGAGAATCTGTGTTAGAAGCTGATGATTCTGAAGTTGATAAGACAGAGAAACAAGCTCCAAAGGAGAAACCAGTCGCCTCAGAAGATCCTGAGTGCAAGGAACTAGAAATGGATGATTGGTTGTTTGAGTTTGCTCAGCTTTTCCGCACCCATGTTGGCATCGACCCAGATGCTCATATTGACTTGCATGAGCTGGGAATGGAGCTGTGTTCCGAGGCTCTTGAGGAGACGGTAACTAGTGAAGAAGCTCAAGGTCTTTTTGACAAGGCTGCCTCCAAGTTCCAAGAGGTGGCTGCGTTGGCCTTTTTCAATTGGGGAAATGTTCATATGTGTGCAGCGAGGAAGCGAATTCCTTTAGATGAATCTGCTGGAAAGGACGTAGTAGAAACACAGCTTCAAACAGCTTATGACTGGGTTAAGGAAAAATATTCCTTGGCCAAGGAGAAGTATGAGGAAGCACTTGCCATCAAGCCAGACTTTTATGAGGGGTTACTGGCACTGGGGCAGCAGCAATTTGAAATGGCTAAACTCCATTGGTCTTTTGCAATTGCCAAGAAGATAGATCTATCAAGTTGGGATTGTACGGAAACGCTTAAACTTTTTGACAGTGCAGAAGAGAAGATGAAAGTTGCCACAGAGATGTGGGGGAAGTTGGAGGAACAAAGAGCAAATGAACAAAAAGATCCAAATGCAATCAAGAGGGAAGAATTGTTGAAAAGAAGGAAAAAACAGGCGAGTGGAAATGAAGGCGAATCCTCTGGAAATCAGGGCGAGATTTCAGCAGAAGAAGCTGCAGAACAAGCAACAGTGATGAGATCACAAATCCATCTGTTCTGGGGAAATATGCTTTTTGAGCGATCCCAAGTAGAATGTAAACTGGGAATGGGTGATTGGAAGACGAATCTGGATGCTGCTGTCGAGCGCTTTAAGCTTGCTGGAGCTTCCGAAACAGATATATCGTTGGTTCTGAAGAACCATTGCTCCAATGGCGATTCGGCGGAAGGAGACAACAAGAAGGTGCAGACTCTAAATAGTGTTGATGAATCAAAAAGAGAATGATGAGAGCAGTCAGGTGTGATGATATAATCAATTTGCTGGTTTTCATGAGATACCTTCATGTTTTCTTGTTAATCATGAGTGAGGTGGAAATAGGAAATGGGTTTTATCAGCCAAATGCTAGAATACTAAATTTTTTTTTTCTTTGGTTATTTGAATGTGGGTACCAAATATGCAAATTGTGTACTCAAAAGATTTTGGTCATTTTGCTCTACAACTTTCAAGCTGACGTTTGCTCAACTTTGTTGCGATATTGATTTTTGGTTAGTCATACTTATTCAAGATCCATGAGTTTTATGATTCGCCATTTAGTGATTGCATTTGCGCAACATAAAGTGCCGCTGCTTACGTATCCGCTGCATGGTTCTTTTTTTAAATGTTGACAGCAAGGTTTTAACGTTAATTTCCAGCATCTGTTTTCTTGTGATTGTGATGGCCTATGTCTATGTTCCAATTCTAATATTTCGTTGATGTTTGGTTGATGTATTTAGAATTATCATTCAGAATCATTCTCGATTTATGTGTATTTTTTGTGAAAGAAAATACTGTAGCGAGTCACGAACTATGATCCGAATCATAACACGAATCCACCAATCAAACGCACTCCATGCTTTGGAGTTTCGAATTCTATGAAAAATTTCAGGTTCTTTCTCTAGGAGTCTCTACCATTAACATTACTCGAGTTTCGTTTGGAAAAAGTTTAGTGAGTGGATCTCATAAACAATAGTGTCTTTTCAGAGTCTTTATAGTTCATACGGTTCGTGTTACCATGTTTATCTTGCAATAGCAAAGCCTGGAAATTCTTTTTTATCGCGAGTTGTGAGTATTACCATCCCACGTGTTTACCAACGTGGAAGTTCAATTCTCAATCATAGGTCTCGTTCACTTCGAATTTTAGTTTTTAATTTGAGTTGAGATATGACATTTTCTTAAAGTTTTTAACTGTAGCAGAAAAAGTTAGATGTAACATTTTCTGAGAGTTTTTAACTGTAAAAATCTAAAACTCAAAACTCAAATTGGTAAAATGAATTGAGATCTTAATTTTTTATCCATATTTCTCCTTCCTCCAAGAAAAATGCTTTAGGAGCACCACACTATTACAAATAAAAGATGAGTATCACTTGTGAGTTTTATGAAAGTCACCTTCTATTAATGAGTGGTACTACCTTCTATTAGTGAGTGGTACTAAACACCACCGGTGTTTTATAGCACTACTCAAGTCTAGTTGGGTTGATCATAAGCTTTTTGTGGAATTAAAAACGTTGGGAAACATCAGTAAACGGCAACAATTAGGAAATGGTATTTCCTTAGCAAAAAATGAAACAGTAGTACGTTTAAATCGAAATAAAAAAACGACATCGATTTCAAAATGTCGAGAAATAAAAAACGACAGGCTCTTAGAAAACGACATAATAATTTAAAAAACGATCATGGCTGTATAAATAACAAGAAACGATAACGTCTTCCAATTAAATTATCTTAACTCAACAGTAAAACGACGTAGTGTTTAAGAACCACATAACAATTGCTTAGTAACTTTGCATTGTAGGCGGTAATAAGTTAAACACGAGAATCTTAACTTTTAGCCCCAAAAAAAAAGTTAAACACGAGAATATATTACTGCAAAAAGAAAAATCAGGGAAGCACATCAATGGGAGAACGCCAATGAATTAGAAAAGACGACATATTTTAAACCACGTAATACATAAATCTCAGCCAATACAAAAAAAGAAAAAAAGAAAAAAAGAAAAAAAGAAAAAGCATTCATACTAAAAATAAAAACAACCGGATTTTATTTTATTTTATTTTGATAAAAATCGACAGTATGTTTTAAAGGACATGTAATTGAAAACGACAACGTCGTGCTGCAAAATATTATGAAACAATACCAGCTTGAAAACGAATATTAATTAAAAATAACAACATATTAGCAAATGACGGTGAGTATAAAGCAACAAAATATAAAGAAAACGACAATAAATTTTTAGTAACACTTAAAAACGACAATAGCAGTAGAAACAATAATATACTCAAAAATCAAAACGACTAATGTTCCATAGGAAAGTGGAGAACATACAAATAATGACATATTTTTTAGTAAACAATAACGACATCTTATTGAGGAAACGACAGCAGCTCAACATTTCAATTTTACATTAGTCTTCGTATAGCAATAAATAAATGAATAAATAATCGCAAAATAAAATACCGCCAAAAGTGTGTGTGGCCTGTTTAGTCTGACCTAAATAACCATTTCCTTTAAATGCTCTCAAAGTTTGTAACAGGGGCAATCATGGAATTAAAAATTCCATAAAAACCTTGGCGGTTTTTCACAGTTCATCCATCATCGGGGAAGAAACGTTTTTGCCCTAACCTAGCACACCAGCAACACAACAATGGCGTCTCTCCCGTCGGAGATAATCGTCGAAATACTCTGTCAACTTCCGGTGAAGGATCTCCTGCGTTACAACTTTATTTTACGTTCCGATTCTGAGGCCTTTGCCGCGTTCTGGCGATTACAAAGAAGCATCTTAAACAATAAGTACCCACATATTTATGGTATTTTATGGCAGCCTTATAATCATAGTAACTCAATAAGTACTTTTTAATTCAAAGTGCCCAACAGAATATGCAAAGACCACATCTCAATCAAAAGGCAAAAACATACCATTGATGAGTGTCGGATTCCAACCAAGCCGCCCTTTAAAAAACAGGTCACCAATTCTTCCAAATCAACTCTATTCGTGCCCATTGTGGTCGCCGGTGAGGCAGCCACGGATCCTGAAAAACGCGAATGCTTTCGCCATTACCAACCCATCACCGAAGATTGAATTGGAGAAGTTCTCGACCCCACATAATGCTTTTCCAAAAATACAAAGCATTGCCTCCCTTCTTAGCTTCCAAAATAAAAATGAAATTAGATTTTCCTCCCAAATTTTTTTTTTCCCTGAAGTCTTGATGATAACGAGTGGACGTAGATACTTTGGGCCTGATATGTCTTAGGAGTTGTTCTTTTACATTTTTGAGTTAAGATGACTGAAGTGATGATTTTGAATTGAGTTTAAATTATAATTTGAGTTAAAGTTATAACTTGAGTTTGTGTTTAGATGTGCATATTTGAGTTATGATTTGAATTGAGAATCTTTTTGAGTTTGTGTTTGGATGGGTCAAAACTTAAATTTATATTTAGATAGTATTTTAATAAAAACTCAATGGTGATGGCAAATTTTAATAGGATATATGGGTGATGTTTTATTTATTTTTTCATTGTGAATGCATAGAAAAAATAATAATCTCAATCAGAATTAAAACGAAAAAGTTATGACATTTTTAAGAATAGAAAAAATATTGTTCATTAACTTGAGTTCGAGTTGAAGAGGAAATTTAAACTCGAGTTTAGTCCTAAATTTGAGTTCAAACACAAATTTTATAAAAAAAAACATACATTTAAATAAAGTTATAACTGAAATTCAAATTTAAATTTTTTTTTTTTTTTTTTTTTTTTTTTTTTTTTTTTTTTTTTTGTAAAAGAACGACCCTTTAATTTTTTTGACGTTGTGGGCTGAAAAATGGGGATGTTTAGGCCTATTGCGACAGATGAGTACTATAACGAGGGCAATTCATGGAATTAACGAATTTATAACCGTAACCGCCATATTAACAACCTCCAATTTTCGTTTATCATTTTTCATTTCCATTTCAAATACTGAGAAGAAACTCTTTCCAAGAAAAAATGAAAGAAAGAAACGGATAGTAAACCCTAACCCTAAAACTGATCAGACAAAAATGGCGAGCCTCCCATGGGATATCATCGTCGACATACTCGGTCGACTATCCGTTAAGGATTTGCTGCGATACAGGTCAGTCTCCAAGCCGTGGTGCGCTTTAATTGACGGTACTGATTTCATCATGATGCATCTCAAGAACTCCGTGGAAACCGGCTCCAATCTCGGCGTCGTCATCAGGTACTGCGACCTGTACTGGGTCGACCTCGACTCGCTCGACTCGGCTGTGAAACTCCGAAATCCAATCGCACGACCAGGCGACGGGACTGAAGTTTTGGGTTCTTGCCATGGATTGTTGGCTCTCTTGAATGTCAACAACGAGTTGGCTATCTGGAACCCGTCAACTAGAAGGTACAGGCGAATAGCCGATACTGAATTTGAGGCCCCTGATGACAATTTACCCTGTATTCAGTTTATAGTCTATGGATTTGGGTATGACCCCATTGGCAATGACTATAAGTTGGTGAGGATGGTGCAGTTTTATGGGGACAATGGTCAAGATTCTTTTGATTCTGGGGTTAAGATTTATAGTGCGAAATTGAATACGTGGAAGAGAATTAGGGATTTTCCTTATTACTTACGTTACAAGCGTGGATTTGGTGTTCTTTCCAACAATGCTTTGCACTGGGTAGTGTCTACAAAGCCTTTGTCTGATGTTTCGAACTTAGTTTTTGCGGTTGATCTTGTGACTGAGGAATATCGCGAGGTGCCACTGCCGGAGTTTGAGGGTGAGGGCTGTCGCATGGATGTGGAGGTTTTGGGAGGGTCTCTTTGCTTGCTTTGTAATTATGGACCGGACGGTCCTGATGCCGATTGGGGAAGCACCTCGGACTATGTTGATATGTGGATGATGAAGGAATATGGAGTTAGGGAGTCTTGGACTAAGTTTTGTACTGTGGTGCCTTCGGATGGGATTGGCTCTTTCAGTTATGTGTTCCCTATTGCCTACTTGAGGAGCGGTAATCAAGTTCTCATGAATAAGAATGATATGAAATTTGTAGTATATGACTTGGAAAGTGGAAAGGCTTGGAATAAGAATATTTCTGGTGCTCCTCGTGATATGGAAACAGAATTATGTGTTGAAAGCCTTGTGAGACTTGATGGTAGTGGAGAATTTGGTTGGATGCTGGGAGAAGAAGATAAGAAAAAGAAGAAGAAGAATCAAGAGCAGAGTAAGAAGAAGCAGAGGTAATATGTGTATTCATTTTCTTCTCTATAATTTTCTAATATCATTATAAGGTTATGGTTTGTCAAAAACTGAACCAGAGTAAGTTTCTACTTTTTTCTAACCAAAAAAATTTTCTTCGTGTGTGATCTAAATTAGTAGAAAGTCACTTCTAAACTAGTAGCTGCTTGGAAGAAAATTGATTTCTACATTATATAGTTAACTTTCTGACTTTTTCTTTCTTCAATAGGGATGATTTCCTATCACAAGGATTCAAATTGGTGTTATAGATAAGCTGAGGAAAGTATAGATTACTCGAGAGGTATATGTTAGAATGATTGCTTACCAGCTTGCTTATAGAGCCTTAAAATTTTCAAGTTTTACAACATGCTCTTTTGTTACGATGAATTTTAGTACTATGGTAGTTTTGACTTTGAAAAGTAGTAATGGATTTTGTAAATGCGTATCTTGAATTAAATAGAACTTTACCAATATCATTTTCTGGAACTGTAATGTGTTCTCTCAATATTTAGTCTTTAGCGGATCATGTTTCAATGTTCATATTTACCTGCCTAGAAAAGAATATTTGGTGGCTTTGTTGGAACTATTTTTCATGAAAGGATAGAGAAGATGAGTTGCCCCATGTCCCCATCATCTCCAAAGCTTTATCTATGTGCCTGTGCTGAGGCCTCTGCTGCGCAATGATCACAAAGAAGCATCTTAAACAGACCAGCCAAATTGGAAAAATAAGTCCAATATAAACATTAAACAGGCCGAAGTTTCTTTCAGGCTTTAATACTGGAGGGTTTTTGTTTGGGTTTAGCTGATGTATTAGGCTCATGATGGAGCGGAATATATATATATATATATATATGGCTTTCTGTCTTTCTTCTTCAACGTCCTTCATCCATCCTCAACTCCAGCCTATTGTTGCCAAAATGACTCTCTTCGACACCTTTTTGTTCTATGTTAGTGCTAAATCTCTCTCTCTCTCTCTATAGTTCGCTATATATATATATATATATATATATATTAGTCTAGTTTAGTTGGGAATCTCATAAACAATGAAACTGTCTTTAGAAGCATGATTGCATGTTGACTTTGAAATGGGTGTTGTAAATGATATATGGTGCAGATTTAGGATTTTATTTTTATTTTTTTACAACGCAAAATTGAACTCGCAACCTCCTCCTGAAACACCATCCCACCCAAATTCCCTAATGCCACTAGACCAAGAGGTCTTAGGCACAGATTAAGGAATTGATCTTTAACATTTATTTCGCTAATCTTGATAGTTGTGGATCCACACCCCCTCATCTTCCGGTTGAGTCCAAGCATCCTTTGATCTCGCATCATGGACAATCTGTTTCTTTCATACCAGAATGACCAAGTAAAGTGTTGCAAAGGTGGAAAAATCCACTTTATTTAAAGACTAAAACATACAAAACAAAATTTGTTTGGGGAACCGCCATCCCAAGCCTTCACTAGCAAATCACACCACAATAGTAAGTGTAACGTGGTTTCCTCCTCCTCTTGGCAACGACCATAAACTCTACTAAAATCAATGGACATCTCTTAATCACGTTTATCTGCGTTAGCAGAAAATCATGGAAACATCACTAAACATAAAAAATTTTCTTTTTGAGGGAATATACAAATGCCACACGAAGTTCTACAAGTTTCAAGGCTATTAGCAGATGACGTACAAACTTAATAATGGTTGTTCATGGTATGTTCACGCTGATTTTATGGTCACCGGTTTGAAAGAATAGGGGTGAGGCAGCCACGAATTGTGGAAAAATGAATGCTCTCACCATTGCTAACTTTTCACTCGAGATCGAACTCGACAAGTTCTTGACCCCACAGAATGCTTTGCCAAAAATACAAAGCATACGCCCCCTTAGCTTCCAAAAGAAAAATGAAATTAGGCTTTTAACATAACGTAACTTGTATTCAATAGCCTTTGAATTGATGAAATGAAATCTGGATGGGACGTATTATTGATGTGCATGACATATGATAAGAAGAAACGAAAATTTAATGAATTTTTGGGGTCTAAAAATGAAGTTATGCTCTAGGACTCTTTTATAATCTTTCCCGCTAGAATGCGAATATTTCTTTAGTTTCTTATTCATGCCCTTTTCTTTTATTTATTTATTTATTATTATTATTGTTTTTTTTTTGGTTTTGTGGATAGGCTTGCTTCTTCATGTCGTTTTAGTCCGGTAGTTAGATACGTCATCCGCCCCTTAGGTTGGACGTGGCGAAAAAAAGCAATGAGAAAATTACATGTTTTTTTTCCCATAATCACCGAACCTCTCAAATTGAAAAGACTAAAATACTCACAGATTATAAATCATAACCTGATGGATCATACTATGACTGACGCTGGTGACCGGAAGTGGCGACCGGTGTAATTTGTCAGGTTATAGATCATAACCTGCTAGGTTATGACCGGAGACCCACCGGTGGCCGTGTAAAAATCTGTCAAGTTATGGATCATAATCTATCAGGTAATGGCTGGAGGTCGGCCGAAGACCCACCAGTGGGTGGTGTAATCTGTCAAGTTATGGATCATAACCTATCAGGTTATGGCCGGAGACCCGCCGGTGACCGGTGTAATATGTTAAGTTATGAATCATAACTTTTTAAGTTATGGTCGGAGACCCGCCGGTGTAATCTATCAGGTTATGGATAATAACCTATCAGGTTATGGTCGCCTCTCCGGCTGGCCGGTGACAAGAGAATGCCGGCATATTTTATAATATATCAATGGACCATTGAGGGTAACTTTAGAATTTTAAAAATATTTAATTTAACTATTTTAATTATTTTAATTATAAAAGGGTAGAAATGAATGAGTTAATATTTGGAGGTTAGAAATAGATTGAGTACCTGTATTATCCTTGTTTCATCAAAAGCAGTTGATAGATTGAGTACCTGTATTGCGACAGAAGAGTGGGTCAAGTCCAATGCCAACTTCTTTTACAAGGGCAATTTATGGAATTAATAAATATACCCGTAACCGCCATACAAACAACCCTTCATTTCATTATTCGAAAACAGAGACGTTGCCTTGCATTCCAAATACTGAGAAAAAACTTTCTGAGCAAGGAAAAAAGAAACGGAGAGTAAAACCTAATCCTAAAACTGATCAGACAACAATGGCGACGCTCCCATGGGACATCATCGTCGACGTACTCAGTCGGCTATCGGTGAAGGATTTGCTGCGCTACAAGTCAGTCTCCAAGCCCTGGTGCTCTTTGATTGACGGTCAAGATTTCATCAAGATGCATCTCAAGAACTCCATGGAAACCGGCTCCAATCTCGGCGTCGTCCTCAGAGACTGTGATCTCCACTGGGTCGACCTTGAATCGCTTGACTCGGCGGTGAAACTCCAACATCCGATTGGAGGAGACCGCCACGGGACTGAAGTCTTGGGCTCTTGCCATGGATTGTTAGTTCTCTTGAATATCAACGACGTTGTGGCTCTCTGGAACCCATCAACCAGACGGTATAGAAAAATACCCATTTCTAATATTGAGTTCCCTGATGGGATTTTACCCTGTTTTCAGTTTATAGTTTATGGGTTTGGGTATGACCCCGTTAGCAATGACTATAAGTTGGTGAGGATGGTGCAGTTTTTTGGGAACGTGGGTGAAGATTCTTTTGATTCTGAGGTTAAGGTTTATAGTGCGAAATCTAATACTTGGAAGAGGATTAGGGACTTTCCTTATTACTTACGTTACAAGCATGGATTTGGTGTTCTTTCTAATAATGCTTTGCACTGGGTGGTGTCTAGAAAGCCTTTGTCTGATGTTTCGAACTTGGTTTTCGCGGTTGATCTTGTGACTGAGGAATACCGTGAGGTGCCGCTGCCAGAGTTTGAGGGTGAGAGTTTTCACATGAATGTGGAGGTTTTGGGAGGGTCTCTTTGTTTGCTTTGTAATTACGTCTCGGATGATCCCAACGCCGATTGGGGAAGCGGCTCGGACCATGTTGATATGTGGATGATGAAGGAATATGGTGTTAGGGAATCTTGGACTAAGTTTTGTACTGTGGTGCCTTCGGATGGGATTGGCCCTTTCAATTATGTGTTACCTATTGCCTACTTGAAGAGCGGGAATCAAGTTCTCATGAATAAGAATGGTGAGAAATTTGTAGTATATGATTTGGAGAGTAAAAAGGCTTGGGATAAGAAGATTTCCGGCGTTCCTCATCATTTGGAAACATGTTTATGTGTGGGAAGCCTTGTGAGACTTGATGGTGACAATGAACCGTTTGGTTGGAAGCTGGGAGGGGAAGATAAGAAAAAGAAGAAAAAGAAGAAGAAGAAGAACAAGAAGAAGAAGAATAAAAAGCAGAGTAAGAAGAAGCAGAGGTAATATGCCTACTCATTTTCTTCGTTTTAACTTTCTAATAGGATCATGTTTAGAGTTTTGGTTTGTCAAAAAATGAACGTGTGTAATCTGATCATTTCCGACCACACAATTATTCTTGTGGAGTTTTTCATTTTGCTGGATGAACCTTATATGTTGTGTCATTTAAATCAGTAGCTAAGTCAGTTATAAACTCTTAGCTTTTGGAAGAAAATTGATTTCTATGTTATGTAATCATCTTTCTGACTTTGTCTTTCTTCAATAGGGATGATTTCCTATCCCAAGGATTCAATTTGGCGTTATAGACGAGCTGAAGAAAGTATAGATTACTCGAGAGGTATATATAAGAATGATTGCTTACCTGCTTGCTTACATAGATTCTATTTTTTAAGTTTTACAGTATGCTCTTTTGATGAATTTTAGTACTAATATATCATATTCAGGTCAGTGATTTTATACATTATAGTTAGTTGTAATACTGATGTCAAGTACCCTACTTATCTATATCTGTTCTGCTGTTTCTTTCAGGTTGATACCGGAAAAAGCTTTGCTAGGACTAATTGGATTTGGTACTTTTAAACAACTAAGGGATTTTGTAAATGCATGTCATGGATTAAATAGAACTTTTACTAATATCGTTTTCTGGAACTGGAATATTTGTTTCTCAATATTTGGTCTTAGAGGATCGTGTTTCAACGTTCATATTGATGTTGAACAATATTCAATGCAGTGTTCTTAAGCTTTGTTATCTGATTATGGTGGTCTTTTTTCCCCCCCTTTTTTTTTTTTTTTTTTTTTTTGGGTAAATCTGTGATAGTCAATGGAGCGTTCCTATTGTTTTTAAAGTACGCAACTTTCACAGTTTCTCTTGCATAGAATGTAATGAAGTTGTATAAAAATAGGATTTGTTGTGGGGGCGGACTGCTTTACATGAAAAGTATGTAAAATTTGTACGAGATTGAGCATGAGCTGCCCCCATGGCTCTCATTACATCGTAAAGAAAATAATTTGCTTTTTGCGAAAAATATGTAATTTATTTTAAGAAATTATTACCAATTCTTTTAGTTAGAAGATAATTTGATTAGCCATTAAAAAAAAAAGATAGTTTTATAAGTGTACGAAGAATTTGGTCGTTCACTAAACATTCTTAGATCTCGTTTATTTTACCGATTCAAATTTTAAATTTTAAGTCTTCGGGTAGACTTGGGATTTGATAAGACAACGTTCAAACTTTGTTTGGAAGTCAGAAATGGTTTATGTTTGTCGTAGCCAATCTTGTTGGCGCTTTGAACTGAAGGATGAACGAATGCCCTCATCTTCGGCTGACTCTCGTTTAGAGGAAATTTAGTTTTATTACAGTTAAAAGCTCTCACAAAAAGTCACATCTAACTTTTTTATTATAATTAAAAGTTTTTACATAAAGTCACATCTCAGCTTAAATTGAAAACTCGAATCGGCGGATTGAACCGCCTTGGTGTTCCTTTTTGATTGAAACATCTTTATAATTCTTCCATGATTGTGAAGAAATGGGATATCATGTGATATTCTGATCCTAACTTTGTCGGTTCCTTCTATTTTTCTTGAATTTTTTCCTTTCTATTATTATTATTATTATTATTATTATTATTATTATTATTATTATTATTATTATTGTCATTGTTATTATTGTTATTTTACCAAATGTAGGAAATATCTCAACACCTAGCTAGTCCTTGCACCTTATTTTCTAGTTCTATAAATCAGTTGGAAGAAGCAAGCAACAAAAAGATATAAAAAGGCTACGGATCAATAAAGCATTTAGAGGAAACCAACCCAAAAAAAAAAGGCGCACACACAAGTACACATTTACATGGAGCTTCCTTGGTACACTAAAATGTAAACTACCAAAAGGACTCCCATTTCAGCCATCGTTAAAAGTGTATGAGAAATTGTATAAAAAAAAATTATATAAAAAATTGTCTGTTTTATGTACTCTTTTAATATGATGTGATTACGATTAGATCTAATAATAAAAATTAGCCTTATCGGTAGGGAGATCCTATCAAAGAAAGACTTCAAAAAGAAATCTTCCCCTCATTGAAAAAAAAAAAAAAACGAAATCTACACGATCAAAAGAAAAAAAAAGTTTAAATCTTACTTTTGCTCAAAATTCATACATCATTCTCAATTTATCCTTTTAACAATAAAAACTCTGCTTCACCACTTGAATTTTAAATTAATCTCATTTAACTTTTCATAGGAATTATTTTGGAAACTAGATAAGAAAAATGCGGATAGGCACTACTTCAACAATTCTACATGTACAGTAATATCCAAAACTCCTCAGAGGGCTCTATAATAAGATGATATATTTTGTTACAAATTGTCTCTCATGTATATTGCTTTCAATAGGTAAATGAATCATTCCTCCTTGTAATAAAAAAAACAAAAAAAAAGTAGAAAAATCGTGTGACTATACTTAATCTCTTATTTTTTTCATTTGATTTTCACAAAAATTCAAACAAAAAGAGTATAATCTTAAAGTTTAGAAGCGCCAATAAAATTGACTCGTAAAAATAATTACGGGCAGTTTGTTTCACGAGTTTATGTCAGTAATTTTGATTTTGAATTCAAATTTTTTGAGAGAATTATTGATGAGGAATTTTTTTTATTCAAATTTTTTGTGAAAAAAATAATAATCTGTCAAATTATAGATAATTATTTTTTTAATTTTAGATAATAATCTATTAAATTACGCCTGCTACTGGCGACCGGAGATTTGTCACCGGCAACATCTGTCAAATTATCGATAATAATCTATCAAATTACTTACTTCAAAGGGGTAAAATTTAATAAGCCAATGTTAAGACTCAAAAATCTTTAATAATACTATTTTAAGGGGTATTTGTCAAAATTACTTAATACTAGAGCCTCTACTGCGCACTAACAATTACAAAGAAGCATCTTAATTAGGACAGCCTTAATGGAAAAACTAGTCCAATTTAAACATGCCCTTTTTTTCCTTTAAGGCTATAAAACTGCAGGGTTTTTGCTTGGATTCAGCTTGGTAATCTCATGATGGACGGGAAAAAGAAAAAAGAAAAAGAAAAGTTTAGTCGTGTCATCTCGAGTTTGAAATGGTGATTGGTCTACTTGATTTCTTCCGAACTCATCGTTTGGGTTTTGTGTATGATATGGTGCAAATTCAAGAAGTGTTCTTTAACATGTATTATGCTGGTTTTGTTCACCCTAATTTTATGTCCAAAAAACTTGTGATATTGTTACTTTTTGATTACGCATCGAGTAAGCAAGAAAGCCCGCTTTTCTTCCAAATTTCGAGGACTTCAATTATCGTCGTTGATGCAGGTGCAATATTAATAGTGATGTCGTAGTGTCGTTTGTTCACTCTGTTAGTCGTTGGCAATAATAAGTCTCAGGACAGTCAGTATTGTTCATTTCACCGATTTAAATTTTTAGTTTTAAGTTTTTACAGTTAAAAACTCTCAAAAAATGTTACATATAACTTTTTATGCTACAGTTAAAAACTCTCAGAAAATATCACATCTCAACTCGAATTAAAAACTCAAATGTGCGAAGTGAACTAGACCGGCTTTTCTAGTTGTACCAGTCCTTTGTGTTCTCTTTAGAAGGTTTTGAATGATGATTCCAACCTCCAGTTTAGACCTCTCAGCGAAAAATAAATAAACAAATAAAACCCCCTCAAGTTTAGACCTTTTTTGTGTCACTTCTTTCTCTATTTTTCACTGAGGCTTAATCCTGTTTGTTATGCTCTGTTAGCTGTATGTGTTTAATTTGGAGCCGAATAATTGACTGTAAAACATATTTTATTTCTTCTTTAGCTAGGCAATATGGTCTTCATGTCTCTGGCATTTCTGTTTTTCAGAAATAAAGCATATTTTGGAAACTCCAGCTTATGCTTTGGCTGTGGTCAATTATAGTGATCAGAATCATGTTGCGTTTTCGTGTTTACAACAAAAATGACAAACTAAGGTAAAAATAAAACCTATCTTTTACACGACAGTCTCTACCCATAAAGCATTTTCAAAAGCCAAAAATGAAAAATGAAAAATTCCATATTCTTCTTTTTTTTGTGGGGTAGAAATGAAAAATTCCATATTGGTGCTAAAGTAGGAACCACTCTTTACCTTGCCTTTCGGTATTTTCCTCTCACTTTTTTTTTCCTAGTGAGATTGCTTTCGTTTTGCTGTTTTATTTTCTTTCCTTCTACCGTTTTCGTGTCGTTTTTTTTTTTTTTTTTTTTTTAGCAGAAAAAAGAAAAAGAGAAATCTTGCCCTGCATTTCAGTAGTGAGAAGTGATCAGAAAAACCATGGCTAACTTCCCTCCGGAGATAATCTCCGACATACTTTGTCGGCTACCCGTTAAAGATCTTCTGCGTTTCAGGAGCGCATTGAAGCCATCTCAAGCATTCTACGGAAACCCAATCCAATCTCGGCCCCGTTCTCGCCGACTATCATAACCGCCACGTCTTTGGCGTCAACTTCGACGTGCTCAACTCAGCCACGAAACTCGTTAGCCCAATAAACGACTGTGACCAATGTGTAGGGCTCTTGCAATGGATTGATTGCTGTGGCAAATGCAGATCAGCTTGTGACTCTCTGGAACCCGTCCACCAGAAGGTACACAAACATACCCTTTCCTGTGATTGTTTCCCCTCCCGGGTTTAAGGTTTCTCAACCGTTCATTTACGGATTTGGGTACGACCCCATTAATGGTGACTATAAGCTAGTTAAGAGTGACGCAATGTACTCAACTATCTAGACAAGAGTTCTACTTTAATAAGGTTGATGTTTATAGTGCTAAGTCTAATGCTCGGAAGAATGTAAGAGGATGTTTTTTTTTTTTTTTGTTTTATTCGTTTCTGATTTTGAATAATGATTCATGATTCTGTAGGTAGGTATGAGGATCATCCCATGAGATTGGGGGTTTTGGGAGGGTCACGTTGTGTAGTTTTTCACAAATTCTGTCCTGAAGTTACTGGGAGTAGCCGCCTACGTTATGTTGTAATATGCCTGTTAGTTTATCAAATTATCCCAAAAGTTTAAACTATCCGCTCTGATACCATGTTAGCTTAATAATAATTTTATATTTTAACATTCACCCTTACGTATAGGGGGACAATGGGTAATCGTGTGGATAAATTAATTAGAAAACTCAACACGTGAATATTTAAGTCTGCGATATATTAAAAACTGAACACATGATGCCAATTTTAAATGGGAATAAAGAGTACAATTACGAGAGTTTGAACTCAAGACCTCCCGTTCTGATACCATGTTAGTTTACCAATTCCTCTCAAAAGCTTAAGATGTTAGAAGATGGACCAACAATAGTTTTATACTTTAACACTCACCCTCACGTGTGAGTTGGACAATAGACAATCGTATATGTAAATTAATTAGAAAGCTCAACACGTGAATATTTAAGTCTGAAATATATTAAAGACTCAACACATTATGACAATTTAAATGAGAATAAAGAGTACAATTACGGAATTTGAACTCAAAATTTCTCACTCTAATACCATGTTAGTTTACTAATCTATCTTAAAAGTTTAAACTGTTAGTTAGTAGACTAATAATAATTTTATACTTTAACAACGCGTGATGAAAGAATATTGGATTAAGGAGTCTTGGACTAAGCTGTGTATTGTGGGACCAGGCGGGCATATGTCTAGCGATTTCCGTGAGGTGGATCCTATTGCCTTCTTGAAGACTGGTAATGAAGTTCTCATGAAGTCGGAAGGCCGGGAACTTTTATCGTATGATCTTGAAAAGGAAAATGGCAAACAAGGTGAGAATTTCTGGTGTTCCCGAGTTGTTTATGAAAACTGTATTATGTGTGGGAAGCCTTGTTCGACTTGATGGTAATGAAGACCAATTTGGTTGGAAGCTGGTAGGAGAGGAAGAAAATGAAGAAGAATCAAAGCAGAGGTACTGCAGAATCATTTTCCTCTTTTTAATTTTTTTTTTTTTTTTTTTTTTTTTTTTTTTACTTTAGAGTTTTGGTTTTCCAAAAACATAACGAGTTTAATTGTTCTTGCGGAGCGTTTTATTTTCTCTGGAGAAGCCATATATGATGTGTGTTGATAATTCACAATCCAAGTGCACCAAATTGTTCCAACTTCTAACCTTCCATTGGCAGGTTTTTTTTCTTTTTTTTTTTTTTTTTTTTTTTTTTTTTTTTTTTACTTTAGAGTTTTGGTTTTCCAAAAACATAACGAGTTTAATTGTTCTTGCGGAGCGTTTTATTTTCTCTGGAGAAGCCATATATGATGTGTGTTGATAATTCACAATCCAAGTGCACCAAATTGTTCCAACTTCTAACCTTCCATTGGCAGGTTCGTAGAAGAAAATATTCTTCTACTTCTATTTAATCAACTTCCTCACTCTTTCATTTTTCGGCATCGATGATTTCTCGTGTGAAGGATTCAACCTGTGTTAGAGATAATTTTTTTTTTCCTGACGTATATAGTATATATAAGAATGCTTGCTTCCAAACTTGCATACAGAGATTCTAAAAATTTTTCCTAGTTTTACAGCGTGCACATTTTGCTATGATGATTGATGAACTTTTTTTTTTTCTTTTTCCAAATATATCACATTTAGGTTCGTCATTTTTTAGATTATTGTTGCAACACTAATGTGAAGTACCTTATTTATCTATCTATCACAGTATTTATGGCCGTGTTTGGAATTGATCTCGTTTTTATTTTTCACGTTTTTGAGAAAAAAATGAAAACGTTTTTAAAACGGCGTTTGGTGCAATAAAGATAAAAAACGGAAATGAAAACGATTTTTTAGTTTAGTGTAAAATGAGAGAGAAATGAAAAACGACTTTTAGCCATTTTTCATTTTTGATTTTCGTTTTCTCATCTCTCGAGCAGAGAGAGAGAAAGAAAGATATTAATAGATTTTTTTTACACTGAAAATAATCTCTTGATATTGAAAACGTTTTTATTTTCATTTTCATACAAAAAATAAAATTATTTTAGAACGATTTCTAAACGCACCCTATATTTCTTTCAGATTGATACCAAAAGAGATTTGGCTGGGGCTACGGGCCTCACCGAACGTGGTGTTTGACTATGGAAAGCCGAAAGAGTTCTATAAATGCATCTCATGAACTGAATAGAACTTTTGCTAATGCTAATATAATTTTCTGGACTTGGAGTATGCATTTTCTCTGGAGTTACTCTTTAGAATACCATGTTTCATAATGTTGGTAATTTCGTATTACTTTCGAACAGCATAGCTTTCTTCCGTACAGCGAGTCATGAAGCAATAGAAAAACTGTTTTACATCAAATGATATGTATACGCACACGGAGGGAACATGAGCTGCCCCAGGGCCCCATTTAGCTCAAAAGTTTTACTCATGCGCCTGCGCCCACTACTGAAGTCTTTCTTTGGCATTAGAAATTGCATAGAAGCATCTTAAACAGGAAAACCAACTTGGAAAAAATGTCAACGTTTAGTTTACGGATCCAGAATTATGATTCAGATTCATTCTCGATTTACGTATGTTTTTTTTTAGAGAAAATACTGTAACGAGCAACGAATTATGATTCGAACTATGACACGAATTCTCATACCAAACACCGCAGTCTGATTTACTATTCATTTTCCTTTGGCTCACTATGGAGGGCTACGAATGCGAATGCGGGTTTCACATAGCCATAGATTAGACATATGATTGTAATGGCCCGTGTTGGTGTTCAATCAATATTTTCCATGCTTCCTCTTTCTAGGCTCATTGCGTTTGCATCATGATACAAACTCGTATCTTAAATAAATATAAGAAGATACATAAAGTTTGTTCAAGAGAATTCCTAAATATGACATCGTTCAGTTCGCGGATTCGACTTTTTGTGTTTAATTGTAGCAAAATTAGAATTAAAAACTTAAATTAGTGAAATGAACATGATCATTATAAATCTATACACATCACCAAAGAAATTAGGAAATTTTCTTTTTTTGCTTAATAAAAAGTTTAATAGGAGCTAGGAAATTGAAAAGCTATAATAATACTCTTTTGTGACGTCTTTTTGAAACTCATACGCTTGTGTACATTGTTGCATATAGTCTTTGATCCTTTGATTCCTTTCCCACTTTCTTTGTTTTATTATTTATTATGATATTGTTCATTTGTTTTCTTTTGATCATCTACGGCAGACTTCGTTGACCATGGTTGTTTTCTGTGTGTCTAGTAGGCGGCTAGTCGAACACCTTAAAAAAAAAAAAATCCCAATCCTCCACCAATATCTAGTCTTCTTTATATAAGCATTATAAAATTTTCTTAAAAAAAAAAAAGAAAAAAAAAACACTTTCTTATAGCTTAAACGTTAAGGTAATGTACCAATATTGAAGGCCCTATTCATTTCACTAGTCTGATTCACAACTCAAGTTTTTATTATATTCAAATTTATTTTTTTTGTTACAGTATTTTCTCTCACATAAATTCAAGTTCTCAACTTGAATAAATGACAAATGTCTTTTTGGTAATATATCTGATTTTGCAATAAACTTTTTGGATCTTTTTAGTCATTTGGTGATGATCTCGTTTATTTACCTGAAAAAAATAAAGATTTTTCTTAACAATTTGATTAAGCCTCCGTTTGTTTTTTTAGTTTAATTTAGTTCAATTTAATTTAAATCGCGAGCACAATTTAAATTTAAATTTAATAAACACTCAGTATGAATTATATTATCCTTTTGAATTGAATTAGACTGTCTAATAGTGTTTAACTACTCTCTAAAGTTCAACAACTGGCTGCAAAAATACTTTGGCAAACCTCCTCCAGAAGAAAAAGACAGTCTTACCCACAAATAAAAATCAAAATCGGATTTATAATGATTAGGAAACAATACTAATATATATATATA